AGGGGAACTTACCCCGGTTTGGAGGGGTGAAGGGGAGATTACCCCCCAGGGAAGCGGGGACTGGGGAGAAGAGGCAGAGAGGGAGAGGGAGAGGGAGAGGGAGGAAGAGGGGGAGGGGGTTTGGACACCTGTGCTAACCCCTCAGGGCAGTTGGAGGGGGGACATGTCAGGGAGCGAGAGAGGGAAGGGTCGGAAGGGGAAGGGTCTGTAATTGAGTTGCATCAGAGGGAGGGGGATTTGACAAGGGTGCTGGAAAGACAAGGGGGAGAGGGAAGGGGTTTTGACGCCTGAGTTGTCGCCTCAGGGGAGTTGGAGGGGAGAGTTTTTGGGGAGTGGGAGTAGGGAAGGGTGGGACGGGCTGGTGGGGGAGAGAGAGGGTAGGTACGAGGATGAGAGGGGGAGTGAGGAGGGAAGTGAGAGGAGGAGTGAGGAGGGAAGTGAGAGGGGGAGTGAGGGGTCTAGGGGTGAAGAAGAGGAGAGGGAGAGGCAGTGGGAGAGTCTGAGGGACGGGGAAGAGGAGGGGAGTGTGAGAGATGAGGATGAGGAGATGGAGAGAGGGGAGAGTGAGGGGGAACGTGAGGGAGAGAGTGCGGAGGAAGAGAGGGAGAGACAATGGGCCGAGATGCATGCTGGTAGTGAGGAAGGGAGTGAGGATGGAAGTTGACAGGAGGATGGAGAGCGAAGATGAAGAAGTGGGGGAATGAGGGAGAAGAGGGCAGGGGGGCAGACAGAGATGAGGAAAAGGACGAGGAGGTTGCAACTGGACAGGCTGATGTGGGGGTGGTCGTATCTGTGCAACGGGAGGACGGTGAGCTTTCCGCTGGGCGCATAGCTGGCCGCGAGAGAGACGCCTAAGGCAGGGAAGTTGAAGTGCAGTGAGTGAGTCCCTAAACCTGGATGAGGTTGGTGAGCGGTGAGCCCCCACGGGGGAGCAGTCACATGTTTCTGGAAGTCATCAAGGGCAGGGCAGTTCAAGCAAAGTGAAGTGAGGGAGTGGGCGCACCTTGACGATGTTGGTGAGTAGGTCGTATGGCTCAAAGCGGAATGGCTGTGAGGCGAAGAAGCCTGCAAACACCTGCCGTAGTACCGGTGGGGAGGGAGAGGGGGGAGAGAGAGGAGAGAGAGAGAGAGAGTGGCGGGGTTGAGTAATAGCAAGGAAAGGGTGAGCTCACCGCTGAGCGCATAGCGTTGGCCGCGAGAGAGGCGCAATGCGCCCAGCGGATTACTCGCCGCTGAGCGCATAGCGCTGGCCGCGAGGGAACAGCTATGCGCCAAGCGGCGCTGATTCCGCAGGGCGAATAGCGCTGGAGGGAGAGGCGCAATGCGCCCAGCGGTGAGCGATCCGCTGAGCGCATTGCTGGCCGCGAGAGAGGCGCAATGCGCCCAGCGGTGAGCGATCCGCTGAGCGCATTGCTGGCCGCGAGAGAGGCGCAATGCGCCCAGCGGTGAGCGATCCGCTGAGCGCATTGCTGGCCGCGAGAGAGGCGCAATGCGCCCAGCGGTGAGCGATCCGCTGAGCGCATTGCTGGCCGCGAGAGAGGCGCAATGCGCCCAGCGGTGAGCGATCCGCTGAGCGCATTGCTGGCCGCGAGAGAGGCGCAATGCGCCCAGCGGTGAGCGATCCGCTGAGCGCATTGCTGGCCGCGAGAGAGGCGCAATGCGCCCAGCGGTGAGCGATCCGCTGAGCGCATTGCTGGCCGCGAGAGAGGCGCAATGCGCCCAGCGGTGAGCGATCCGCTGAGCGCATTGCTGGCCGCGAGAGAGGCGCAATGCGCCCAGCGGTGAGCGATCCGCTGAGCGCATTGCTGGCCGCGAGAGAGGCGCAATGCGCCCAATCCGCTGAGCGCATTGCTGGCCGCGAGAGAGGCGCAATGCGCCCAGCGGTGAGCGATCCGCTGAGCGCATTGCTGGCCGCGAGAGAGGCGCAATGCGCCCAATCCGCTGAGCGCATTGCTGGCCGCGAGAGAGGCGCAATGCGCCCAGCGGAATGCGCATAGCTTGGCGCATAGCGCTGGCCGCGAGTTGCGCGCTACGCGCCCAGCGGCGAGCATTCCGCTGGGCGCATAGCGCTGGCCGCGAGATGCGCGCTACGCGCCCAGCGGCGAGCATTCCGCTGGGCGCATAGAGCTGGCCGCGAGATGCGCGCTATGCGCCCAGCGGCGAGCATTCCGCTGGGCGCATAGCGCTGGCCGCGAGACAGGCGCTATGCGCCCAGCGGCGATCATTCAGAATTTCGAAGAATGGATAGATTCGAGTAGGTTCAGCATATAGGGAAGAGAAAGGGAGTGAGAGGCACCTCTGATACGGATCAGCTGTAACTCGAGCTTCCGTGAATTTGATGGGGGGTAATAAGTCTGCTAAGAAGTCCTTACTAAGTTAGTGTCGAGAGTGATAGGGCTAGAGCAGGATGACGGGGAGCAATCTGATGGAGTTTGCAGGTTGGGTTGATCTTAGTGTGCACGCGGTGTACAATATGCTTGGTTCTGGTTCGGTTGAGTGGCGTACGTGGTTCAGGAGGACGTGGGTGCATCACAGCTCGTGGATTGGTTTGGCGCGAGCGGGAAACCGTCAAATCAGGGTCATGTCAGAGCTGATTTCATCAAAGTTACCATTCGCGTGATGGGCTGCTAGTGTATAGTTACCAAACGTGTTAAGCTAGTTACCAAACGCGTTAAGCGAGTTACCAAATACGTTAAGCGGGTTACCAAACGCGATGAAATCGTTATCGTACGTGTTACAGTGCCCCATGTAAGTTACCATTCACATATTTTCCCCCAGCCCTTTGTTCAGGTTTCCTCATGTTCCATTGACATGTTATTCACCAACCTTGCTTCCTTCCACTGCCCATTAGTGCTAAGTGCTACACCCATGAAAAGTAACACCATACGGTATCACTTGCCATCCACACCAAGTTCATCCACCTCTGCTCTTCCTACATCCGCACCCACACCCCTGCCCCCCCCCCCTCCCGGACCCTCAACACCAGTACCAGCTGCCGCTTGCCCTTGTATATCTTGCCTCCGCTCATTCTGGTTTCTCTGGGGCAGCAGAAGAGGCTTGCTTAGTGTGTAATCAGAGCCGAGCATTGCTTGGCTTTGAAAATATTTTTAGGAAGAAACCACACGGTGTAACACCTGGGGATGAACCGATTCTATTCAACACTTGTCAGTATACGGTACATAAAAACTTGACGCTGCCTACTTTTTCCTAACTCCAGCACATCCTATTTCGGAAGGAGCGCCAGCCTGAGTTACCCTCCGATCCACTCACCACTGCCTGTTACGTCTGAAGCATTTCTATCAATGTCCCACCTCGTCTACTTAGTCGCACTTGGAGCGGCACTTCTTGGCCTTTTTCTTGCACTTCTTGTACGTGTGCGTGCACTTGTGGTGGTCGTGCTTATCGTCCTTGTTCTCGCGCTTGCACTCGCTGTAATCCGTGTTGCACTTCTTGTTCTTGTCCTCGCAGTCCGACTTGCACGACAGCATGCGCGGCAACCACAGGAACCGCCTGCTCACGCGGTATAGCGCATTCACGAGACCTGGAAACATGGAAGGCAAGGAAACGAACAAAGTCAGCAAACAGTGTCACGTTCAGAAATTACTTCGAGAGCAATGCAAGGCAGGGCGGAGGCGGAGGGGGGGCATGGCGTCTCTGAGCGCAATGTGGTACCCAACGCACCAGGAGGCGATGCGTCGACGGGAATGGCGGCGTCCGACAAGTCGTCGTCGGCGTCGTCGTCTTCCGCGACGATCTCATTCGCGCGGCACGACGGCGCTAGTGCGAGCGATACGAGCAGCGAGAGCGCGAGCAGGACGAAAAACAGCTTGGAGCGCCTCATGGCTGCGAGTTTTTAGAATTCTCAACGATTAACTGGGGTGGTGTCTTGGATAGGAATAGATCGTCAGGAAAACTCGCAACACTTCGGGTAGAAGTCTGGGTAGTGAAGCTTCTTTTCTGGTTGAACTGGAGCTGGTACCAATTAACATTCAGGTCCAGGCTTTTATAGCTCTCATGGTGCCTAGCACGCGTGTACATGGTGATAAGGCAAGTATAGCGGTTGGTCGGTGGTATAGCCGCCGGTCGGTGATAAGGTAAGTCTGGTGGCGTAGTTTTGGTCGGCGTTTTGAGCTGGACTATGTACGGTACCGATGCGTGCGTGCGAATCGAAAAGGGGAGATGGGAAGCCTGATACGGGTATGGCGTGGGATTGGTTGCTCAGGTAGTTCTGGAACGTGGGAAGCATGAGGAGCAGCATGGGATTCAGTTTCGATCATGGGTTGGGGGGGAAAGGGGAGATGGGGATGCGATGCGACGAGAGGAAGCTGGAAGGGGTGCTTGCATCGAAACAAAACGCAAAATTCGAACCGCACAACGCGACCCAAATGGCTTTTGCGCAACGCGGACCGATGCGCCAGATTTCTCTGCAATTTTTCAGCCCCTTCACTGATTTCGATAAAGAGTATTGCGCCATAGCGTGGTGCACTACCTAAACAGTACCACACCACCCCACAAGGACAGAGCGACATGCTAAAAGGTCGCCATGGATTCTGTCAGGCTCTTTGCTTAGCCAAACGTCTATCAAATTCTTATCAGTTGCTGATTTTAAAGACGGTTTCGGATTCTACATGACTAAAGGATCACGAGGATACTTTTATTGTGCTCAAATGACGAGCATTGTAACCTCGAGTCCATTTTCAGGCACTCCGGTTACTCCGTTTGCAACAGCGGGTTTCAAGACATCTATGGCTTTCCCTAGGATGGTTCCAAGGTTAGCACATCTCAAGGCCATTGATCATGTCGCGGGTTCAGCAGCTACCAAGAATCATGTTTTACTCAAGGATGGAATTCACAAACATCATCTACCAAGGAAGAAACCGAGGCTGCAACGACGACGTTTCTGCTATAAAGCTTCGGTGCTCAGAGGTGGCTTATTATCAACGAGTTTCCTCTCGTCAGTCTTCAGATTCTCAAGCTTCATTCTGTCTCATCATTGCACCATGCCGCGTCAGCCGAAGAAAGCCTCTCCGGTGAACAACGGCTTGAGCGGCGATGTCAAGGGTCATCAGTCCGAGCCGGCGACGCCGAAACCGCTGATCAAGGAGGTGGGAGGTCCTTTTGCGGATGACACGCGTATCTCCCTCGTGAAGAAGTTGGCCGCGTTGAAGTTTCTTAACCCGGATGTGCCTGCTGCGGGAGGGTCTAACAACGCGAAGGAAGGAGAGGACAACGAGAATGAGGTGACGCCGCCGGTGCCTGATCCGAAGGCTCCTGCAGAAGTGGAGGAAGAAGAAGAAGAAGAAGAAGAAGAAGAAGAAGAAGAAAAAGAAGAAGAAGAAGAAGAAGAAGAAGAAGAAGAAGAAGAAGAAGAAGAAGAAGAAGAAGAAGAAGAAGAAGAAGAAGAAGAAGAAGAAGAAGAAGAAGAAGAAGAAGAAGAAGAAGAAGAAGAAGAAGAAGAAGAAGAAGAAGAAGAAGAAGAAGAAGAAGAAGAAGAAGAGGATGATGGGTACCTCAGTGATGATCCGGAGGAACCGCTTGATCCGGTGAAGGCCGGGGAGATCGCTGCTCGCGCGGGGTTTTTGATTATGCTGCTGATCCCGGTCAAGTACGAAGAGGAGGTTCCGAGGACGATTGACACGGTTAAGGGTCTTCTGGGGCTTTGGCGGAAGTTCATGTCAGCGCACGTTCTTACGACAACGAAGTGCCAGGTGCTCCTGCCTATATACCTGTCGAAGAAGCGGTATGGGAGGATGCAGGTGACCTTCATGCAGGTGACCTTCCAGCAGGCGACGGACGCCAAATACGTGTGGTGTCGCAGGATCGAGCACAAGATGTTAAATGACAAGAGCATTTTCCTGGACTGGCAGCATCCGGAGAACCCGGCGTACATCTACGAGCGTGCGACAAACCTGGATTCGATTGAGGTGTTGCTGAAGAGTGTTCCGGCTGCAATCACGCCGGAGATGGTTTATGAGTACCTGGTGAAGACGGAGCTGGAGAAGCGCGACAGGACCCCGTTCCTTAGTGGTGCTGCTTTCCATCGGGTTGTGGATCCTATGACGGGTGCGGATACTGATAAGATCAAGGGATTGGTCAAGGGTCGCCTGAGGAATAAGTATCGCTGGTGGCACCTGCTGAATGACTCGGTGCACCACAAGCTGCTTCTTGTGCATTATCCGTCGCTTTCTTGTGAATTTTGCACCGGCATGCATCTGACCAAATTTCATGAGGATTATGTCACGGAGCGTCATGATAATATCGGAAAATGGAATCTGACGCTTTTGCGCTTGCATGCGATCAACGGTAAACAGTTGCACGCTTACCTTGCTTTTCAGGCTGTCGGGGTCCCGCTCGGATTCGCTGATGGCTTCGTCGCCCTTTGTGTGAGCAGCTGCATCCCTGTCGCTCGATGCGCGGCTGAAGAAGATACTGCGCGACCCTGCTGTGGTGTTGGTGTCAACTGGGGAAAGCCGGGAGGATTGGATCTTCGTCAAGGCGCATGGCACCAGTTTCATCCAGGCGGAGGCTCATGTGAAGTCTGTGCACCACTGCACCGCTCTCCTGAAGGGGGGGGCTGCCAGCCGTGTGAGCAAGGGGAAGATGAAGTTTATCATCGTTCGCTAGGAGTACGGCCTGTAGGATCGGAGGTTTGGAGCCGGACAGGCGGTGTTAGCATGTGGAAGCCAGTTGGAAGTGCAGTGCATGTAGTTGCCGAGCAGATCTCTGCCATGGATAAGAAGAGCTGGTTAGATGTCGTTTTCTTGTATCAAGCCCGTGGATGCGAAGGGGCTCCCGCGCAGTTGATTAATGGGTAACAACAACCACAATCTCACCATTTGCGAGGTCAACGTTAACGGCCTCGGAAGCAACGGCAAGAGAACCACACACAAGAAATGGATTCAATCAGCGGCTGATGTGGTGGTGCTGACAGATACCCGTGTAGGGGAAGACCGATTTTTTTTTACTCAGCTTAAGCCGACGGCGGTGGTGGGAGTAGGTAATACTGAACATGCCGGATGGGTGGCAATACTGTCTTTCAAGGAGGGAGTGAAGTTCACAGATGCAGTCCGCCATCCGTCAGGGAGGCCCGTTGGTGTGACAGTGGTCAGTGAGCGGCTCACCTTCAGGCTTGTAGCAGCGTATTTACCGGCGCAGCCGTGTAGCAGGGCGATTTCTTCGGCAACCATTTCCCGTAGATCGTGCAGGCGCAGCCGCAGTCGATGCACTTGGTTCTGATGGGAGATTTGAATCAGGTGGAGGATCCGGACCTGTATAAGACGTCCCGGTCGGGCTCGGGGAGAGAAAATCAGAGAATTTTAAGTTAATGGGCAGCTTGGGACCTCCGTGATGCTTTCCGCACGCTGCATCTGTCCAGGCTGGAGTACACGTTCCGGGATAGGGCGACGCAGTCGAGTACGCGGATAGACCAGAGGCTGGTATCGCTCTCGCTGTTGGGAGCACTGTCGAAGGTGCGGCATGTTAAAGCACCGAAAGGGTTGTCGGACCATTGGTTTGGAGTCAAGGTGGGGCTCAAGGTGGCTTCCCCGCTTGTTCAGGGACCGGGCCTGTGGAGGATGCAGGCGCAACAGGCAAAACGGAGGGGGGTCAGAGCTACGACGGAGAACATACTTAAGAGACTGGAGAGTGAAGCGGACATGGAGCTAGGCAAAAAAAAATCAACTGCTTAGTGCTGGGCTGCGAGCTTACACGAGAGAAGAGAGGAAGACGGTGAGGGCTACGATGGCGCACCTGGAGGAGGAGGTAGAGTTGCTCCGCCATAAGGTGATGCGACATCCAGCGGACAAGCGGGCGTACAACAAGCTGGTTTGCAAAGAGGCGCATCTGGAGGCTTACCAAGTGAGCTGCAAGGAGAGGTTGCAGGTCCTTGCCGGCATCCGGGTGGAGATGGATGGTGAGGTTCCGTCACCGTACCTGTCGGTGAAGGTCAAGATGCGCAAGAAGCGCACGCAGATACAGGAGTTGTCGCACCAGGGGGTTTTGTACCAGGGAACGAAGAGGGTCCTGGAGGCGGCGGCGGAATATTCCAGGGCGGCCTTCAAAGAGATTGCGGCGGAGGAGGAGGTGGAATTGGGGGGCTTTTCGGAGGGTCCGACTCTTACGGATGCAGAGGCGGCCCAGCTTGACGCGGAATGGTCGGAGCAAGAGGTCAAAGAGGCGCTGGCGAGTTTCCCCAAAGGGAAGTCCCCAAGGCAAGATAGACTTCTGGCGGATTTTTTCATCCTGCATTGGGATCTGCTGGGGGCACATGTGATGCAGTTTGTTAAGCAGTTTGTAGAGACGGCGAGGATGCCGGAGGAGCTGTCGTCTGCGGTGACCGTACTCCTGCACAAGAAGGGGCATACAGATCAGCTGGGAAACTACCGGCCAATAACGCTGCTGACAGTTATGTATAAGCTGGTCACAAAGGTGATGGCCACAAGATTGAAGAAGGTGCTTGGGGGAGTCCTGTCAAAAAAACAGCATAGCTTTCTTCCGGGTAAAAGCCTTGCGGATGCGGTTGAGGCGGCGAACAGTGGAAAGGAGGACTGGTTGATGCTGCTGGTGGATTTTCAAAAAGCATATGACACGGTGTCGTGGGACTACTTGTTCAGCGTCCTGGAGAAGCTGGGCGTCTCGAAGGGCTTCGTTAGTTGGACCAGAGGCCTGCATGAGGGGGCGGGTACGAGGATCTTGGTTAATGGATGGCTTAGCGAGAAGGTGGAGATGTGCAGGGGGGTTAGACAGGGGTGCCCGCTGGCGCCTTACCTGTTCTTATGCGCCCTGGAGCCACTCTGCCGGATGACGTGCCGCAAGAAGCTGGGTGTCGGGGAGTCAGGTGCGTAGCCGCTTTCCTTTGTCGGTTACGCGGATGACACCTCGTTCTTGCTGAAAGGGGAGCAGCAGTTGAGGGAGTCGGTGGCGTTATTGGAGTCCTTCGGCAAACAGTCAGGTCTGATGGTTAACTGCAGTAAGTCAGCGGTGGTGCATTTGGGTAGCAACAGGGGCAAGCAGGCGCCGGCGGGAATCCCGAACAAGTGGGCTGTACATGAGGAGCCGGAGAGGCTTCTGGGGGTGTGGATCACGCCGAGTGGTGACGCTGGTCCGTCCTGGGAGAAAACGTACGAGAGGATACGGGAGGAGTTAGGCAAGTGGGAGACGCAATATCTGACTACAACAGCCAGAGTGGCGGTGGTCAGCTGTTACGTCTTACCGGTGATGATGTTCCAGGCTCAGGTATATTCGCCGCCTGACCAGTTGTGGGAGAAGATCAGGAAGCTGTGTCACACCTTCGTTTCCGGGGGGGAGGCGTCAGAGGAGAAACGTTTTATCTTGTGGAGTGCGTATCTGGCCTGCCTCCTGAGGAAAGATGGAGGACTGGGTCAGCTGGACCCGAAGCTCTGCCTCGATGGGTTGGCAATTCGCAGGATCGAGAAGTTGCTGAGTGAGCCAGAAGGTACACGTCGTTGGCTGGCGGAGAGGGCGGCGGGATTCCCACAAGGCTTGGCCACATTGTTCGCTCATCCTGCAGCAGAGAAGCGTTGGGCACAAGGAAGTGAAAGGTGGAAAGCGGCGGTGAAAGTATTCTGGAAGTCTCTGTTCGCGTCGATGCCGGAACCTAGGAACAGGTGGGAAGTGGAGGATGAACTGTTTTGTTTTAATCGGAGGATTATGCATCGGGGGGAGAGCCCGTTTGGGCTGCAAAAAGGAATGAAGGATCTGCCAAATCTGAAGATAAAAGACCTGCTCACGGACAAACCGGGGGGGAGGAGAGCCCTGAAGGAGGTTTTCGAGTTGGAGTTGGAGCTCGAGAGTGAGGAAGCGGCCTCTATGGCGGTTAAGGCGTACATGGCCATGTTAGAAATTGTAAATTTCTTATAACTGCCTGCTAGTGTAGCTACTGTGTAGTGTTACTGTTATTGTTGGTGGTGCACCATCTTGCCCACCCTTCCTCCTACTTATACCTTCCTTTCTAATCAATCATCCTCTTTTGCCAAACCTTCCTCGCCATACTCACGTTTCCTAGCCAAAACCCTAGGTAACTAAGCAGTGAGTTATGCGCCTGATTTGACAGGCCATCCCGCCTGAGTGGAAGGTGTTGGTGGAGGAACCGGTAACAGCGAAGGCAGTGCAAGATGCTTCGAAGTTAGTGAAGTATATAAACCAGGGGATATCGACCATCAACCCGTGGGAAGTGAAGGGGGTGGATGGGAGCAAAGTCGAAGGAGTGCTAATGTCTCTTGGCGAAGAGGGGCTGCTGGAGGCCATGGCGAGGCCTATTAAGGGGTGCTTTGACGCGTGTAGGTTACTGCCGGTGGTGGTACGGGAGAACAAATTAGTGGGGCCGGTGGGCGACCCGAAGAAGCTGCTGACTAAGACTGGGCTGTTTGTTGGGGGCTTACTGGTGCCGCTGCGTCAGGTTCGAGCCGCACTAACGAAAGAAACGGGGCGCTCATGGAGGCAGGCTGAGTGGGAGACGGAGTGGGGAAAGGCGATAGACTAGAGGAGGGCTATTACAGTTCGAGATTCTGTGTGTCCCTCACAAGGCGAGGGATGTCATCCTCACGGTCCACAGTATGAACCTCCAGGTGGGGGGGAGGCTGGTTTTTTTCAAGAATCGGATATGTTGTGCACACTGCGTGGGAGAGGAAACCCTCGCCCACTGTCTGTTCAGCTGCCCGGTCATACAATCGGTAATCGGCGCGCTCAAGAGGTCGCTGCAACTGTTGAATCCGGGCAGACCCATGAACTCATTAGGGGACCTGCTGTTTGATGGTGGGGGGGGGGGGGGGGGGGGGGGGGGGGGGGGGGGGGGGGGGGGGGGGGGGGGGGGGGGGGGGGGGGCACGGCGACGGGCTTCTCCTGGAGATGACGTTGATTGCAATAGTGCTATGCCAGGTGTGGCTGGCGAGGTGTGATGCTGCATGGAGTGCGGTTGGTTTCGAACGGAAGAAGGTGGGGCGCTGTGCTGTGCTGGATTTCATCACGCATGCGAGAGTGGTGCTGGCATCGAGGGTGAGGGTGTCGGCGAGAAAGGGGAATGTTGATGGGTGGAAATCTGATCGGTGGAGCCAGGTGGCGGCTGACGAGAGGGCTCAATTTCAGGGTATCTGCAAGGCGGAGGGGCCAACCAAGTGGACGGCTCACTTCCTATCCATATGGCGCAATCTGCGCACGTTCCATCAACCACCGTAGATGCGTTAGGGGGGATATGCGTCGTTCCCTTAACGAGGCATGTGCCCTCCAAGGCTACAGTTATGACTGTGAATGTATCAGCGTTTGATGTAATTACAGTGGTTAACTAACTTCAAAAATTAACCCTACTTATGAAGTTAACTAACTTTGATGTATCAACCCTAATGTAATTACATTTAGAAAATAAAAAATAAACACACACACACACACACATACACACACATACATACACACACACATACACACACACACATACACACACACACACACATACACACACATGTCAAAATAGTGAAGGAATGAATGAAAGAGAGAAGAGGGATTTCACTAGCAGGCAGTTGAGTACATATAGCAAACCCTAAATTGGGCTGTACTCACTATTGAGTACCCCACTGCAGGCTAGACAAATATAACATTATGACACACCCCCATAGCCAAAGTGGGGTGTAATCAGCACAATCAGCAAGAAGAGCAATAGTTCACAAATATAAGCAAAGCTAGAGGCAGTCACAGACGGTAAGTGAGGAGGAGGAGGGACTGTGAGAGGAGAGGAGATAGGAGGCGACGGGTGAAGCAGCAGATACACGGGCAACAGGAGCGGCGCGCACTGTGGCTACCAGAGATTGTAGCCTCCGGACTACCGGAGTAACTGGCTCCGCGGCTAACTCTGAGCGGCAGGAGCAACGGACCCACGAGCGACTGGCGCAGCAGGCTTGCTGGGCTACCGGAGATTGTAGCCTCCGGACTACTGGCGCTGCTGGCGACACGACGGCTGCCTCCGCCCAACCTCCCCCTAACTGTCCCAAAACTCCCGTTCACACCCCCTGCTGCACCCCTGGCTTCACTCCCACGACACAACCCCCTAGCACCACTCCTTCGGCTCCCACACATCCACCCCCCTCAGCGGCAGCTGCAGCAGTGGGAGACAGAGGAGGAGGAGGAGGAGCAAGGGACGACTAACACACTCGCCACCCCCATACCCGCCACCCCGCAGTTGCACGTGGACAGGAGGCGGCACACGCGGCTCGCGGGCTGAAGGGGCGGCACGTGGGCTGCAGGGGCGGCTCGCGGGCTGCAGGAGGGGCAGTGCGCGGCCCCCCCGAGGGCGCCTTGACGGGCGACAGGAGTGGGGGCCGCGAGGGCCCCCAAGGGCGCCACGAATGGCGACGGGAGTGGGCCGCGCGCGGGCACCCGAGGGCGCCACGACGGGCGACGGAAGTGGGGGCCGAGCGGGCCCCGCCACGACGGGCGACAGGAGTGGGCCGCGCGCGGGCCCCCGAGGGCGCCACGACGGGCGACAGAAGTGGGGGCCGCACGGGCCCCCGATGGCGCCACGACGGGAGGGGGGGGGGGGGGGGGGGGGGGGGGGGGGGGGGGCGCGCACGAGCGACAAAACCGCCGCACGCCCCGGGGCGCGTGACGGGCAGGGCACCGTCGCGCGCCACGGGGCGCACGACGGGCAGGGCAGGGCGTCGCACGGCCACCAGGGCGGCGCGACGGGCAGAAAACCGCCGCGCGCGCTCGGGGCGCGCGGCGGGAAGAAAAAATGCCGCGCGCCATGCAGAAAAAAATCAGCGCGCGCCCGAGGCGCGCGATAGGCAGGACAGCAGCAGCGGAAGCTAATGGTGGGCCCATGCACAGGATCGACCCGGGAGGGTCGACCTGCTCTGATTCCATGTCAGAATAGTGAAGGAATGAATGAAAGAGAGAAGAAGGATTTCACTAGCACACAGTTGAGTACATATAGCAAACCCTAAATTGGGCTGTACTCACTATTGAGTACCCACTGCAGGCTAGACAAATATAACATTCTGACAACACACACACACACACACACACGCACGCACGCACGCACGCATGCACGCACGCACGCACGCACGCACACACACACACACACACACACACACACACACACACACACACACACAAGCTGTACGAGCAATGGTTATGGAAGTGGTGGGCAAAACGTGGTGTGTGAATTTTACAAGTGTCAACATGTGAATCCGCCAATTGAAAAAACATACAATATTCATTGCTTTTTATTGTCCATCAAGCAATTTACAAACCATTCTCCATTAGACAAGCACATCCTTTGATAGTCCACTAGCACTGCGTTTTGGTTTCCTCACGTTGCCCTCCCTATCGTCCCCACTTGACGCATTATTTTTGGTTAACCTTGCACCCCTCCGCTTCCTCTTATTCCGCAGTGTTACACCCATGAACAGTAACACCATACCTGCAAACCACCCCACGTACATCCACCTCTGGTCTTCATGCATCCACACCCACACCCCTGCTGCCACCGCCCTCGAACCCCCACCACCAGGACCACCTGCCCTGTAGCCATAGCCTTGTAAAAAGCGCTTCCACTCATTCCCTTGGTTCATACCTGCATGGTTACCGTGATTAACGATCCCCAAAGTACTACCATTAACAACTACACCTGCCCCCTCCCTACCCTCCCCCTCTCCTGGTTTATCTTGCTCTTCCACCTCATCTCCCTCTCCTTTGATGTCTCCCTCTCCTTCTCCATCCCCTTCCTCCCCATCCCCACTTCCATCCTCGTTTGTGGCTGAATCAGCATAAGCAACACGGTCTTCGTCGGAAGGAATATTCCCCTCCTCCCCAGCACCACCTCTCACTCCTGCTTTCCTTGTCCGAGCTCCCTCTCTCGGTTCTCTCACCACTAGAAATCCTCTTTCCAGCCCAGCTCGTTCCTTCATTTCAGTCACATCCACAATATAGTTACCCTGCACTCTAATCCCCCTTCTAGCCCCTCCTTTCACCGCAATCCCTTCTTTCCCACCCCCACTCGCACTCCCACCCTCAAACCCATTTTCACTCACTCCTCCACTCCCTCCCTCACCCCCTCCCTCGCTCTCCTTCTCGCTCCCTCTCTCCCTAGCCCATACATCAGCCCTCAACTCACCCATTACTGTTGGTGAGGCCCCACCCAAATCCATTATCCCCACATCCCTCTCCCACTCGACCAGACACCCCCTCTTCAGCCTGTGAAACTCCCTTAAAGCCCGATTCAGCACCGCCATACACTCAATCACAATGAAATCCCGCCGCCGTTCCTCATACGTCTGGTTCCCGGGCAGCGCGTAAATTTCCGGCGGGTCGGGGAAATTCTGCCCGCAGGTGTTGACCATGTCCTGGCGATAGTAGGCCGATTTGTCCCATTGCCAATCTAACACCTTGAGCTCTAAACCGTAGTGGATCATTCTAGGATCGACCCCTTTAGGAGGGTCATAGCCTGGGTAAAGCATAGCACTGTCTATCATGATGTGCTTTAGACCCACCTGGGAAAGGGAAAAGGGGGCGGGGAGACACAGTGGAGTGGATTGGTGAGTTCATACCACTCATAGGGATGATAATAGAGATGGTAGAGATGATCCGAAGGAGTAGTCGCACATCTTGGTCAACTGCCTCTGCCCGCGAATCTCCCTCGTGGCAATGGCTGCGCACCAATCCACCTCTGAACTGGGTCAGCCAAAGAGTTCTACACGCGGAGGCACTCGCATCAAAGGGTGCTCGCATCAAGGGGTGCGACTCACATCGGAGGAGCCACAGGAGTAGCCGTACATCTCGTTGATCCACCTCTGCTCGTGAATGTAACCCGTGGCAGTGGCTGCACACCATTCCACCTCTAATCTAGGTAATCCAAACAGATCCACATGCAGTGGCACTCACATCAGATGATCCAAAGGAGTAGCCATACATCTCGCTGATCCACCTCTGACCGTGAATGTCCCCCGTGGCGTTGATGGTGTAGTGCTCCACGTCTGCCCGCACCTCCTCACTCTTGAAGCTCCAGATGGGCGCCAGGCGCCACAAGTCCTCCACGTGAATCACAATGTAGCCCCCCACCTATGCGCGGTTGGGAGTGGTTGGGTGTGGTTGCATGCGGTCGAATGTGGAGGGAGAGAGTGAGGGAACAAGAGAGGAAATGGCACTCCCTAGGCGCTCCAGATGGGCGCCAGGCGCCGCAAGTCCTCCACGTGAATCACAATGTAGCCCCCCACCTGCGCACGGGTGTGGTTGGGTTGTGGTACAGAGAGAGAAAAGTGCGAGAGGAAGAATGTGCGTGCGTGCATTTGGGTGTGGGAAGGAGGAGGGGAAGAGAGGGAGGAGGGAAAAAGGAGCTTACCTTGTCACAATGTGTGGCGTTTTTCATGTGCAGCTCGCCGAAGCTGTTGTCACACCCTTTGAGGTAGCTGGTGAGGGGGAGAGGGAAGGAGAGAGGGAAGGGAAGAGAGAAGGAGGAGGGAAGGGAGGAGGGAAGGAGGAGAATGGAGGGTCGATCGAAGAGGGAGGAGGGATGGGCAAAGAGGAAGGTTAGGAGGAATTAAGCAGGGATACGTAAAAGCAGAGCACATCAGGAGCCTAGAGAATAGCCAAGTGGAGCCAAGAGGAGTCAACAGGAGTCAAGAGAAGTCAAGAGGAGTCAAGGGGAGCCACAGGAGGAGCGATGAGAAGATCTTGCAGTGTCTCACATTCAACATGTAACACGGTTACCTACTCTCACCCGTAATTCGCTGACACTGGGTGGCCTCGCTCCGCCCCCAGCTCCCAGGGCAGCACCGGCCTCCTTATAAGCTGATCCGCGTCCATTATAAGCACCCACTCGACGTCATTTGCGTCAGGACTGTTGTCCAGCCAGTATTTCACCCCCACTGGTTTATTACTCGCAGGATACCAGTCACCAGTGCGAGGGTCGTGGCTCCAATTAGGGACCACCATTGTTGGAGCAATGTCCAAGCCTCTGTACCCCTTAAGAGCATCCTCGTTAGAAGCCAGAAGCCGCACGAGCTTCCCTGGCTGGCCTGACCTTTTGAAGCTGTAAGCCATGGCTACTGACTGCCAGTCCATATAAGAAGAGCATTCTGCAGAAAACACTGTGATTATACGCGGCGTTCCCTTAATGTGATACGGGCGCCAGGCGTTCGGATCCAGGCTCGGATCCACCCGAACCTCCACCCCTAGGTTTGGCGAAGGCACGGGTACGGGCGGCCAATCGTCTATCTCCACAACCTCCATAGAAGAGGCGTCCTTAAAACCTGGAGGTAGAACCGCGCTGGTGTTTTCCCGCCAAGATTTGAACCACTGGTCCAGCTTTTCGGGAGTGTCAGCCAGAGGTGTGGTTTCTCTTCCTCCTCTGATTCCTCTGCTGAGTTTTGTTCGCCTGCTTCCTCTTCCGCCTCCCTCTCGCCCCCATCCCCTCCCCCCTGCTCTACCCCTTCCCCAGTGTTGGGTTCGTCGTCTTCCGCCTCCTTCTTGTCTCCACCTGCCTCCTCCCCCCCCTCCCCCTCCTCTTCCTCCTCCACCACCTCCGCCGTTCTGCCCTCTGAAGCATTGTCAGGTTGATCCCTGACCCCGTCACTCCTCCCCCCTTTAGTGTCACCTTCGGCGGTATCAGCACCAGCAGCAACAGCACCACCATTAGCAGCACCACCGTTAACACCGCCACCGCTAGCAGCACCACCGTTAACATCACCATCCGCTGTACCGACCCTGCTGGTGGACAGAGCGTCGGTTGCTGATTGACTGAAGGCCTGGTTGAAGATATTTCCGTGCAAAAAGAGGAGGCTCCGCAATGTGGGTCCTGACGTGGCTGTCTTGAGTGATCGCGGTTGGTTCCCGTTGCTGACGAAATCCGGGTGGTCGATAGAAGAGGAGGATGAGGATGAGGGAGTACTTTCATGCAGATCCAGAAGTTTCCGTAATGTGGGTCCCACCAGTGCAGCTACATTGGTCGAACGGGAAGAGTAGGACCTCAGTGACGCTAGCGGATCCGCCTTTAATATTTTGTTTATTTATCGGGATATCATAAATTGAATTGTCGCGTCAATTACGAGAAGCTCGGGACAAAAAATATATACCCCTCATGGAGGGCATGCCATTTGGGAGGCATCAACCCTAAACACCATGAGGCAAGGTGTTTAAGGTTGATGCCTCCCAAATGGCCAGCCATCCGAGAGGGGTTTACTTTTTCCATTGGCCACTAAACTAAAACCAGGTAAACTTCAGAATTTTCCTGGTCACAGGAAATTGGAAACGTCGAAATCAGCTGCCCCAAGGAATCGGACGCGAGAGGAGAAGCAAGGCGGTGTCAAAGCCACACTGCCCAAAGGAATTGGAAACTTGAAAACAGGGCGATCCGTCATTTCCTCGAAACGAAATGCAAAATTCGAACCGCACAATGCGACTCAAATGGCTTTTGCGCGACGCGGACCCGATGCGCTAGATTCTCCCGACGATATTTTGAGTCCGTTCACATATTTCAATAAAGAGTATTTCACCATGGCAAAACATGTAGGCTATACGAGCTTTGGTTATGGAAAGTGTTGGGCAAAATGTGGTGGACCGTGAGAAATATCTTCGGTGCATTGGATGAGGTGCTTGGATAATACGTCTATGTGTGTGTGAATCCACCAACATATAACCTACTAACAACATGTAAATCAGCCGAGTGACGAAACACATATTCGTTCCTTTTATACAATCCTATCACACACATTACACAATATTTCATCAAGCAAGCATATCGTTTGATAGTCCAGCCCTTTGTTCAGGTTTCCTCATGTTCCATTGACATGTTATTCACCAACCTTGCTTCCTTCCACTGCCCATTAGTGCTAAGTGCTACACCCATGAAAAGTAACACCATACGGTATCACTTGCCATCCACACCAGGTTCATCCACCTCTGCTCTTCCTACATCCGCACCCACACCCCTGCCCCCCCCCCCCCCCCCCCCCCCCCCCCCCCCCCCCCCCCCCCCCCCCCCCCCCCCCCCCCCCCTCCCGGACCCTCAACACCAGTACCAGCTGCCGCTTGCCCTTGTATATCTTGCCTCCGCTCATTCTGGTTTCTCTGGGGCAGCAGAAGAGGCTTGCTTAGTGTGTAATCAGAGCCGAGCAATTGCTTGGCTTTGAAAATATTTTTAGGAAGAAACCACACGGTGTAACACCTGGGGATGAACCGATTCTATTCAACACTTGTCAGTATACGGTACATAAAAACTTGACGCTGCCTACTGTTTCCTAACTCCAGCACATCCTATTTCGGAAGAAGCCCCAGCCTGAGTTACCCTCCGATCCACTCACCACTGCCTGTTACGTCTGAAGCATTTCTATCAATGCCCCACTCGTATCAAATTTCTGCCTCGTCTACTTAGTCGCACTTGGAGCGGCACTTCTTGGCCTTTTTCTTGCACTTCTTGTACGTGTGCGTGCACTTGTGGTGGTCGTGCTTATCGTCCTTGTTCTCGCGCTTGCACTCGCTGTAATCCGTGTTGCACTTCTTGTTCTTATCCTCGCAGTCCGACTTGCACGACAGCATGCGCGGCGACCACAGGAACCGCCTGCTCACGCGGTATAGCGCATTCACGAGACCTGGAAACATGGAAGGCAAGGAAACGAACAAATTCAGCAAACAGTGTCACGTTCAGAAATTACTTCGAGAGCAATGCAAGGCAGGGCGGAGGCGGAGGGGGCGCATGGCGTCTCTGAGCGCAATGTGGTACCCAACGCACCAGGAGGCGATGCGTCGACGGGAATGGCGGCGTCCGACAAGTCGTCGTCGGCGTCGTCGTCTTCCGCGACGATCTCATTCGCGCGGCACGACGGCGCTAGTGCGAGCGATACGAGCAGCGAGAGCGCGAGCAGGACGAAGAACAGCTTGGAGCGCCTCATGGCTGCGAGTTTTTAGAATTCTCAACGATTAACTGGGGTGGTGTCTTGGCTAGGAATAGATCGTCAGGAAAACTCGCAACACTTCGGGTAGAAGTCTGGGTAGTGAAGCTTCTTTTCTGGTTGAACTGGAGCTGGTACCAATTAACATTCAGGTCCAGGCTTTTATAGCTCTCATGGTGCCTAGCACGCGTGTACATGGTGATAAGGCAAGTATAGCGGTTGGTCGGTGGTATAGCCGCCGGTCGGTGATAAGGTAAGTCTGGTGGCGTAGTTTTGGTCGGCGTTTTGAGCTGGACTATGTACGGTACCGATGCGTGCGTGCGAATCGAAAAGGGGAGATGGGAAGCCTGATACGGGTATGGCGTGGGATTGCTTGCTCAGGTAGTTCTGGAACGTGGGAAGCATGAGGAGCAGCGTGGGATTCAGTTTCGATCATGGGTTGGGGGGGAAAAGGGAAATGGGGATGTGATGCAACGAGAGGAAGCTGGAAGGGGTGCTTGCATCGAAACAAAATGCAAAAATCGAACCGCACAACGCGACCCAAATGGCTTTTGCGCAACGCGGACCGATGCGCCAGATTTCTCTGCAATTTTTCAGCCCCTTCGCTGATTTCGATAAAGAGTATTGCGCCATAGCGTGGTGCACTACCTGAACAGTACCACACCACCCCACAAGGACAGAGCGACATGCTAAAAGGTCGCCATTGATTCTGTCAGGCTCTCTGCTTAGCCAAACGTCTATCAAATTCTTATCAGTTGCTGATTTTAAAGACGGTTTCGGATTCTACATGACTAAAGGATCACGAGGATACCGTCATACCTTGGATATAAGCGCCACCCGCGGATAAGCGCCTGGCGCTTTTAATTGGCGTGTGGCGCTTATATCCGGTGCTCGATTATCAGCGCATACCTAAAAGGCTTACGGATTATAACCGCATACCCGTGCATTACATTTTATAACCGCCACCCAGATTTTTTTTTTTTTTTTTTTTTTCATTTGAAGACCTTTTACATAATTAGTATACTAAAACATCATGTTAATTACTCTACAACTAGTTAATCTACTCCTACCTACGAGCCTCACAGAGGCTTCACCATTTTCTACACTAGTTAATCTACCCTACTCTAATCATCAGCTGCAGTGGGGTCATCTGGGTCGGCCTCAGAGTCCGACTCAGGCTCCTCTACGTTGTTGCAGAAGAAACCGTGTGCTGCAATTTCATCATCCATGTCGACCTCCTCGCCCTCGAGCTCGTCTCGCCTGTGTTGCAGGCAGAGCTTGTCCTGTGACCCATCCAGGGCGTTGCTGATGCCGCAGGTGAGGAACGCCCGTTGAATGAGCTCCTTGGGCACGGACTTCCAAGCCGCCGAGATCCACTTGAGCGTCAGCTCGACAGGAGGCTTCTTGATGTTGCCTGCCACGCAAATCCAGAAACCGGGTCAGCACGGGTTAAAGAAATAAAAACATAAACAGAAGAGCTGCACCTCTCACCTTTCTTCGTCAAGGTGTCGACCCCCTCACGCTCAAACCACTCCTGGTAGAGCTGGCGAACGGCGGCCTTGAAGGAGCGGTTAACCGCGACGTCGAGGGGTTGAATCTCCGAGGTGCAGCCAGCAGGGATAACCGCAGGGACCAGGTTCAGCTCGCCAAACTTCTTCTTCACCTCCGGGGTCAGGTGCCCAAGGGACTTTCCCTTCACCTCGTGCGACCACTTCTGCAGTCGTGCGATCGAGACGGCGAGGCACTTCTTGCGGTGGGCGAGATGGGTGGGGCCTTTTTTTATTCGGAGGGGGAAAGGAGGGAATTGGAAGGTGCTCGGGGAGACCGTCAGCAGCCCAGAACTCCACGTCGTCGTCCGCACCGGTAGCGGATTCGTCCAACGGGCAATCAGCCGGCGCTCCCCATCGTGGCTCCGGT